GATCGACGAAATAATATATTTAAGAAACAAAAGAAGAACATTGATAGACATTTTGTTTTTTCTTATAAATATATACAGAAATTGTTATTAATAAATTTTGATATGTTTCAAGGTCGACTATTTCGATCACATTCAAGTTGACATTCTCGAACCAGAACACGAGCTGATGCAATCGCACGCCGTAAACGTTCAGCTGAATTTTTATTGCCCGCATATGTTGGTTTAATATCTTTACCCATTTCTTCAATAACATTAAGTAATTGAACATACTTCGTTTGTTGCATAACACGTTGTTGAACTTGATTTAATTGTTGTTGAACAGCTGGTGGAATTGGAACATATGATTGAGATTGTTGTTTTATCTGCTGTTGATGCACAGGCGTATGGGAAAGCGAAGGAGAAGCTGTTGTTGGTGCTGGTGCTGGTGGAGGTAGTAGTAGTGGTGAATTTCGACCAGCTGAACCTTGTAACATACTAGACGGTGCTGCTGGGTTAAGAATTGGCCGTGATGGTGCAATAGGCGATTGTTGTTGTTGCGGTTTACGAATTGATAAATCCATGGTCAAGTCCATTTTTGTGTTAGAATTAAATAAAAATCAAACGATAAATAGCTTACAATCTAGAGAGCGAAAAAAAAATACTGATAAAACAAATACTTAAGTATCTCATTTATATATAAGTACGGAAATCTATTGTAAATGTATTAATCAAACGATTCATGGCATATGTAATTGTATTGAGGGACTGTTTCTTTTTTTCTCTCTACTGTTTTATTTATTTTTACTAAGGAAAAGTATTGGTCAAACAAAACAACAATAGGTCTAGAAATAAATAAATTAAAATTAAACAAGAGCATAATGAACGATAATTCTGAACTTAAAAAAAATATCATTGGTTAACATTTTCAGTTATTAATCCAGTAAGTTGAAGTGACCTGTAGTTGTCGCTAACAATCTATCCTATGCAATGTTTGGAGACTATAAGAATTGAAGACTAAATATATATATATATATATATATAAGTTTAAAAATGATCATTACAGGTTTAAGCAACAAAAAACAACAGAATTTTTAGTTTTTATTATAGGACAGTTGCTTTCGTCGTGTGTGTGATAGAGAGAGAGAGAGATGTAAGGAAATAATATATTTTAAACTTAATATATATTAAAAGGTATTATTTTATTAAAATTTTCTTTATTATTACCATAAAAATTAATTCAAAGAAGATTTTCTAAGTAAAAAGAAAGAATCAAAGAAGGAATGAAAACTATGATATACAATAAATAATGTGATCAAATCACGTTCCTGATGTTATTTCTTCAGCAACGGTTGGTATTCGATTCATGATTACATCTTTTCCTTCATTATGTGAACGTTGAGTCAATTCTTCAAGTAATGAAATAACTCGATTTGTTTGTCTTTCAAGTCCACTTAATTTCGTTTCTAATCTTTGAACTTTAGCATTTAGTGTCAATTGTTCACGTTCTTTATCCGATAGAACAATTGGATATGATTTTGGTAGACCTAATGTTTGATCTAGTCGTCGTTGTATATCAGCAAGTGTATACATGACTTTTAAATTTCCTTGAGCATTTTCATCCATAATATCTTTAAAATTATATGGTTTATGTGCTTGGCGAAATTTTCTTTTTGATACATGATATTTAATAATGCGTATCATTCGTATAGCAATTCGTTGATTTACACTAAGATCGTCAGCTTTTTCAACTTTACGCCAACAAGTTTTTTCTAATGACGTTGTATTCGACGATGCATGATATGGAGATGAACCGTTTCGTAAACGTAATGTATCAGAAGTACTATCAAGTGCATTTACAGCAAATGAAGAACCTGCATGACGATGATATTTATTAGATCGTTTTACTTCAATTCGATAAATACGCCATGTAGCTACTAGACGTGGATGACGAGCAGCTGTCATACGCCACCAACTTTGTATGAGACTAGCAGCAGCAGGAACCAAACGATTGAATTGTTTTTCACGTTTTTTTTGTTCAACTTTTAAAGCAAAACCTGAACCAATAATACCAGATGGTAATGTCCAAAATGCAACACCACAAATACATAAACATGATGTAATCATTTTACCAATATATGTACTGGGACATTTATCACCATATCCAATTGTTGCCTAGAAAAATAGATAATAAAAATAAATGAATAAAACAAAGCGATATTTTTCGCTATTTTTGTTTTGTTCAACTTACCATTGTTACAATGGCCCACCAAAGTGTATCAGCAAAACTGTGAAACATATCTTCACCAGGTGGTTTACTTTCATCTTTTTCTACTAGCCAGATTAAATAAGCAACAACAATTAAGAAAATAAAACAAAAATAAAGCGTAGCTATTAATTCATATCGATGATCATAAACAACAGAACCAAGTAGACGCCATGATGTTAGACGTCGATCAACATGAAGAAATCGGAGTATTTGAAGAATTCTTACATATCTTACAAGTTGAATATTAAATTGTGTATGAGTTAGTCCCATACATAATAATATAGTATAACCAATAATAACACACAAATCAACAATACACATTACTTTACGCATAAATAATAAACGACCCTGACGACCACGATATTTACTTCGACAACCGGATGACCATACACGAACAATGTATTCAATAGAAAATAAAATAAATAATACAAATTCTATCCAAAATAAGATTGAATAGGATTGCTCAACATAAACAGTTAATATTGAACTGTAAACTAGACAACCGATAACAGCTACGAAGACAGAAAAATGATATAAAAAACAGGATACACCACATGGTCGTTCAAGAAAATTATAAATACGAGCTTGCAATGGATTATGTAAACGTTTAAGTGACATATGATGACTTAATGGCGAACCAATTTCAGTTTCTTCATCAAAACCGTTTGTTTGTAATGAAATTTTACTTGATCCTCGACGAAGTATTGTCGGTGGTGAGAATAAATTCTCATCGGTTGGTATAGGTAGAAACTGATGTGATGAACTATTCATGATTGTATTGCCGTCTCACATGGCTATCGATAATAAAATATCAAGATACGATTTGAACAGTGGGAATGAATATCAGATGTCGTCTAATCAGACGAAGAAGAAAAAAAGAAATATTACATTTTGTTCTTAAATAAAATTTTCAACAAGAGGTTCGATGACATTCTCAAATTATATTGTATTACCTCATACAATAGTGGATGTTGCCGCTATTCTATTCTTTCTATGTTGTATTGTGTTGAAAAACGATGATGCCGGATTCGTGAGTATGTGTTATATGTATGTGGCATAATGCTCGAAACCTCCATTATCGAATAAAGAATCTTTTTTTTTCGTTCGATTCTCTTCTCTTTTCCTTTTCTTTTCCTAGGACGCGATGTATGTCGACATTATCGAATGTTATAATATATACGTGTAGCTATACACCTGATCAACATTTTGTCTTCTTTCGTTTGCATTTCCAGCGGAAAAAAGAAAGAAAACGGCCTATTGCTTTTCTTTAGTATTGCTCGGTTTGTTGGACGTGCCGCCGAAGAGAAAAGACGGAAAAATAAGAGCAACGAAAAACACATTTACTTATATTCAGTTAAACTAAATCAGTAGAGTAGTCTTGACTGACAAGATTATCAAATGAGGCATTTGCCTTTTACATTTAGTATATAGAACAGAGACTCGATGGAGATGAGAAAGAGAGAACGAAAAAATTATCACTTTTCTTTTTTTTTCGCGTAAATGAATTTTTTATAACATTTATTCGTTTCAACAATAAAAAGATAGCAAATAAATAAAATAGCAAACGTTTTTATTATTCATGTAATTATACACTTTACTGAACTTTGATATTTCTCGTAATTATAAACATTTTGTTACGAAGTCAATAAAACAAATATATCTATCGCAAATAAAGAATGCTCATTTATGATCTATTTTTTTATTTTAAAAAGCACGAATAACTATATAGGTATCAAGAAAATATCAATAGATAGAAGTTTTGTAGGTACAGAATAAAAAGATAACGATCATTAACAAGATTTATTCGATGTAATGAAAAGAAAAAGAAATTATTTGATCAGTGATAAGAGAAGTATTTTTTAAATTATCTGTAAGTATCTTTTCCAAGTATACTTATTGTGTAGAGTAGTAGAAAGAATTAAAATAACACTAAACAATAATTTTTTATCATAACAGTTGCATTTTACTAATATTGATCATTTCTATCTATTAGACTCATGAATGGATACAAATATATATGGAACATCTATTAACTTTTCAAAAAAGTTCAAAAATAAAGAATTTTTCAATGTGCTGCTCATCTTCCAATCAAAGTTTAGTTTTTGATATAAAATGATCTCAGATGTTTTTATAAACTTTTCCTAAATACAAAACAAAAGAACAGCATTAATTCATTTACTACATCTGTTCGATTCACATCCTTGAATGCAAAAGATAACTTGAAATGATTCTCTATTTTTACTTCATTCCCATTCGTCGATCATGAAAATACTCGATTGATAACAATTTAAAAAGAGTTAAATCTTGAAAAATCATTTTTTTCATCTTATCTCATATTAAAAAGTTCATTTAGTTTACTTTCATATCTCGTATTGTCTCTACGATTTAGATAGAATGAAAAAAGTAGTAAAACTGGTCTAGAAACAGTTTATTAGTATAGAAGGATTCATTTTTATCGTTGTGTCATATATTGTTATAGAGAGAAAAAAAACATTTTATTGATATGTTTAGAGACCTGGCACATTTACTATTATTTCTTTATGATTTTTCATATTTGTTAGATGAAACTATATTACTTAGAAATAAATGAGGAAACATCGGATTTGCATCCGATTGTTGTGTGTACTGCAAAAACTGAGTCGATTTATGTATGTTTTGAATAGTTCTGAGAAAAAATCCCTGTACTCCACTCCCCTCAAGGATGGCCTGGTCAATAATGACAATTTTTTCGATAACTCAGCCATTTCTTGACGGATCCCTCTCATTTTCGAACTCGACTGAGATATTGATGAGATCATTCTGTGTACAAAATTTCAAGACAATTGGATGAGGCTTTCAAGAGTTATCGTGTTAACGGCCGGACACACTGACCGAATCTAGAGTGTACTCACTTTTTGAGTAAACAAAAAAAACAGTAAATAAAACATTAGATTTTAGAACAATTTAATTGGGATAATAAAATGATATCGATAACAATTGATCTATCAATTCATTATCTAGTTAATTAAATACTGTAGAAATACTACAATAATCAGAATTGACGTTTACAAGTCTTCTTTCACTGCCAACGCACCGAACGTAAATCGAGTTTGAACCGGCACTTACAAGTTTGTGATCGTTACATTTTCGACATGAAACAATATTTATGACATCTATTTTTACAACCATGGTATTCGATTCTCTGTTTTATTTGCACGTGTTTTTAATATTGAATGTCAACACAATCCGTATCATGATCAGTCAACATTTAGGTTTGGATAAATTTTAAAAAACGAAAATAAATACTTCGAAAATTTCATAGTATCATCAAATCATTTTATGAAATTTTAAATAGAGAAATAAAAGCAAGACTTCATCGCCATGAGAAGTAATAAAACTGTTTTCTGATATGATTATTTAATCTAATAATAGACAGTGCACTTGACACGAAACATATCATATTTTATGATATGATGAAAGTTTCTTTTCTATTTACTAAACAATATTTCATTGCTGCGTGTAAAACTATAGATGGTAAATTAGTTATCTATCTATTATTGAAAGAGACATGATTGAAATTCGGCATTTTTGTTCTTCATAGTGTAACAAAAGATTATTTATTTTTGTCTTCATTTGATGTAATTGAGATGAAATAACAAGATTGTAAACATCATAGCAAAAACATGATGTTCAATAACAAAGAAAACAAAAAAAAACAAAATTTAACAACCTTAATACGGCAATGAAAAAACAAGAAAAGTGAAAACAATAACAAATTGAATACAAATCTGTTGAATCACTAATCATCGTCGTCGTTAAATTTAATTTTCTTACTTGTCATTCCACCATTACTATGACCGTTTTCTTGATTACTAGTGAAGCTACGTTTCATACCGCCACCACGAGCACCGGAAAATGTTGACGATCGTCCTTTTTTAGGTTCAGGACAGTCGAATGATTTATGGCCATCTTTTCCACAGTTGAAGCAACCGCCATCTGAATATAGATATGTTTTATTTTCTAGATTTTTATCACTAGTTAGAAACTTACTTGATTGGTCACGACCACCAGTTTTTTTCGCTTCCGTACATTCGAATGACTTATGACCATCTTTACCACAGTTAAAACAACCGCCATCTGAATATAGATATATTTTATTTTCTAAATTTTTATCACTAGTTAGAAACTTACTTGATTGGTCACGACCACCGGATTTTTTTGCTTCCGTACATTCGAATGATTTATGACCATCTTTACCACATTTAAAACATCCATCTAAAATATAGAAAATAACATAGATGAAATCAGTTGTAGAAAGATTAATCATTATTCTTACTCGATCGATCGGAGTTTCTATTGCCACCATAGCTGCCACCACGTGATGATCCATATGAACCACGAGAAAAACTTCTACCACCATTTCTTGATGTCTCATCAAGTTGTGGCAATTCTTGAATAGGTTTCATCTGAATTCTTGGACTATCTTTCCAATAACCTTGTAATTTTTCATCAAGTTCACTGGGTATATCAAATACTGCACTCTAATTAAAAAAATGATTATATAAAGTCGTTTTTTGTTTTCTATCTCAAAATTTTAATACATACTCTATAATCTTTCGTAAATGCGACTTGTGAGCAATTAGCTTTGGCATCAAAATCCTCTCCAAAACATTTGCGCAACATTGTAAATACTAATCCGGGACCTTTTAATTCATCTGTAACTGTTAACATATATGTTGTATAATTCTAATAAATAAAAAAAATGAATATTTCGCATAGATAAAATTCTTTATCATACTTCTTTTTTTGAAAATAAAGATCGAGGAACAATATTTGTTGTGCCGGATATGCAAGCCAATGCAGCTGATAGAGCATCAACTGCATCAAATGTTTTGAGAATTTTTTCGGCTGCTTCACGAAAGTGAGCTTTGGCTGCATCAGTTACACTGTCAAGCGCTCTATAAAACAGAGAGGGAAATCAGAAAATAAAAATTGCTATTGAAATACATTACTTAGCTGCGTCCGCTGATGATGCACTCAGTACATCTTCTGTTCGTGGTTGTTCGATGCGAGTAAATGTAATACCCTAAATCATACAAATAATGTAATGTTTATCAATATATTTTCAAGGTTGTTTTCTACAATATCCATAATTGAAGCTCAAGTCTAAACAAACAGTGGTTTAAATAATAGTATCAAGTACATGGCATAGAGTAGTTTCATTCATGGTTTATCATAGGAACATTTTTGAATAAGCGGAAATTAGCCATTTTTAAGTGTTCAAAGTCAAAGCCAATATAAATATTATTTTTAAATAGTATCCTTTTTCAAGTTCTGAGTTACGGTATCTATTACGCATTTTCTGTATAATTTACAATGATTTCATCAAAACGAACATTATTATAAGGTTATTTAAAAAATATTTTTTCAATATTTGATTATATTTATAGTTGTGTAAATACGAAGGTCTAGTAGTGGCCACAAATCTTTGTTTTCTGGGATTTAAGGCGGTCGTTTTTAAAACTATTCTCTCCGAACATATCTACAAACTACATTAGTTTTACGAGATATCACTACTAAAATCATTGTTTAGATGCGATTTGAAAGTTAAAGATTGAAGAAAAGTATATATCAGTTATTTGTTTTTAATCAAGACTGCCGCTAAAATATATGTACTAAGAAATTTATACTTACTGCTTCTATTTCGACTCGTCTGAGATCACGTATTTGAGTTGATTTATATAAACAAATACATTTACCTTGAGCACCAGCTCGACCTGTACGACCCGATCGATGAATATAGGATTCAACATCCTAAATAATTGATCAAATGTTTTTAGTAACATAAGAAAAAGAAAAAACTATATTCGTATATTCTTACTTTTGGTGGAGCTGTTACGATAACAAGATCGACTTCAGGAATATCAAGACCACGAGCAGCAACATCGGTTGTAATTAATAAACGATATTTTCCTTCACGAAATTTCTAATTAAATAAAGATATATTTTATTTTTCAATAGACAAACTTTTGTGAGTCTACTCTTAGAACAAGTTCACGTTTATCTTGTGGGATATCACCATGAAGTACGTGTGCTTCAGCTTTAATATCGTGACTAACTGAAAGTTCATCAGCTTCTTTTTTCGTTTCACAAAAAACAATTGCACGACCATCTAGAGTACTACTAGAATAGATTTGAACAACAGAATTGATGACACCAGCTCGATCTTGATAAGCACATGGTACAGCTAAATGCTAAATCAAAAAAGCGATAAAGATATTTAAGAAGAAAAAAAAACACTTACTTCAACATTAGCAGCAGTTTTCTGCATATTTCCTTTGACTAAATCAATGGTAACAAAGTCTTTAGACATGTATTTTTTCGTTGTTTTATAAACCCAATCTGGCATTGTTGCAGAAAAAACAACAAACTGCGGTTTTGTTTCTCGACCTATGCATATATTCAAACATAGATTAATATTTCAAATTTGCTTTTCTTTTAATAATAATAATAATAACAACAATAATTACCTGCTGTAAACATATGACCAAGAATTTCTTCAACATCATCAATGAAACCCATATCGAGCATTCGATCAACTTCATCGAGAACCACATATTTTATTTTAGTTAAATCAAGTCTGCCTTTATCAACAATATCTTTCAATCGACCAGGTGTTGCAACAAGAATATCACATCCATTACGGATCCCTTTTTCTTGATCGTCATATTTTTTCCCACCATAGATTGTTACAATAGATAGATCGCTAACAATCGATTGAAAATCTTCAGAAATTTGATTAGCTAGAAAATATAAAAAATAATTCAATTGTATCTGTTTTCTAGATTTTCTGGCGAGTAAAGCTCTAGACATAATATTCGCTCATTTTTTCACACATAGGTGCATTTATTGGCTCGTATATCATGATAACCATTATTCTCAAAAGAAAGTAATGGAAAGCGTAAGCAACTCTACAATACTGATCTCGTTCGGAAGTTTATTCACATTGCTGTCAGTGTCGTCTAAAAGGAACTTTTTGTATTTTATAGTGACAAGATGGTCGGTCATATTTTGGTTCCCTAGAGAGTGAGGAAAAAATAATTTTCTGTGTAACCACCATTTCGAATAATTTTTATAATAATTGGTCAGTCTTATTTCAGATGGAAATTTTACATTATCGACTAAGCAAGAGTGAAAAATTCTAATTCTTACAAATTGCTTTCAAATATCCAAAAATATGAAGTAAATATTTTGCCCTAAGATTTTCGCATCATAGTTTACTATCAAGACTTACTTAATTCTCTTGTTGGTGCTAAAACAAGAGCGCGCGGTGCTCGTCCACGTATTAACTTCACTGATGTATCATTTTGAATGAGTTCAACAATAGGAATTGTAAAGGCTAATGTTTTTCCGGTGCCAGTATATGCTTGAACTAAGCAATCTTTTCCAGCAAAAATATGATTGTAACTGTCTGCTTGAACAGGAAAAAGAATTTCAACATTACGACCTGAAAAATAAATAATAAATAGGTTTTTTATATTGAAAATTTTTCTATTAAAGTTTTACTTTACTTTGAAGTTTTTTAATTGTTCGCTTCGAAATACTGAAATTTTTATAATTTCCTTTTTCTTTGTCAGCATCACTTATATGTAAATTCGATGAAATAATTTTATTACCATTTTTTATCTCATCAATTCCAATTTCGGGTTCAACATTAACGGTCATTGTATCTTGTGTTCTTAATTTCATTTTTATTTTCTTCTTTTCGAAATAGATAACTAGTGGAAAACGATGAGATCTTAAAAAGGCAAAAGAACATAAGAACAAACTATGTCTACAATTTACGACCATAGGGAAGAGGATTCACCGTGCTATTTTATTCAACTATACATAGAAGTATAATAATTATGAAAAAGAAAAAAAAACTGCTTTGTCCGAATTATTTCTTAAAAATTCATTCGCAATAATCTATATATATATATACAGAAAGACAATCGGGTTAAAATACAAAAAGAAAAAAAATAATAAAGCTAATCTAATTATAAATATTTTCGAATAAATTCGAACACACGTTCTTCCATATAGATGCGTTCATCAAATTTTCTTGGCATGTGCCGCTCATCTGGAAATAGAACTAGCTCATATGACTTATTAGCTCGAGTGAGCGCGTTTATCAAACGGGCTGAATGACGAAAATGAACATTTTCATCGATTAAACCATGAATAATCATCAAATGTCCTTTTAAATTATTTACATAATGAATTACACTTGAAACTTTATACCCATGTGGGTTCTCTTCTGGTGTACCCATATATCTTTCAGTATAATGAGTATCATATCTAAAAGTAAAAGAACACATTTTAAATTAATAGTGGTTTTACTTTGGTTTTTAATCTTACCCATCCCAATGGGTCACTGGTGCACCGGCAATACCTAATTTAAAAATATTACTTGCACGGACCAATGCCATTGCAGACAAATATCCTCCGTACGACCAACCATATATACCGACACGTGTTTCATCAGTAATACCTTGTTTAATAAGATACTGTACACCATCAATCTGATCATTTAATTCTATATGTCCCATATCATGTTTAATCGGACTTTCAAATGCTACACCACGATTTGAACTACCACGATTATCTAAGCTCAGTACAACATAACCAGATTCAACTAAACGTTGACAGCGCATATCACTTCGAATTGACCACGAATTGGTGACACTAGCAAATAAGAAATATGTAGATTTGAGTTTCGTTTGAAAACTTCTAAGTAGTTCAAAATAATTTCTGGCACAGTTAATCAGTCGACTAGTAAATCATTGTTGAATCGAATTATAAGACTGCAGTAGACTATGAATATTCTAAATAGAGTTCGTGTTCTCTACTATTTGTTAGAGAGATATTACATCTGCACAGTATTTTTAAAATAGCTACAGTCGACCCTTTTCAGTATGCGTTCGAAATGATTTTTTCGTTTAGATTTCATGCACTAAAAAAAAAACTCAAATAAGATGAACTCTCAAGATACTATCTATTTTAACAGACTCTTTAACTGAACTACGAAGTAAGTTCAAGTCGAAATTTTAGAAAACCATCGTTTGTTTTATTATCAAATAATTAATTTACTTAGAATTAGATTTTCTCTATGAATTATATTTTCCTTAGAAAGTATCTTTCTATACGAATAGAAATGAAGAGAGAAACAAGAAATATACATTATTCAATAGGATAGTTCATACAGTACAAAATGAATTTATGATTATTTTTCGTTTCTTCTCTTAGTACATTTCTCTGTTCGATACGATTCTTTTTTTTTGCACAGCCTGAGCTCCATCTGTTGGTGACAGTATAAGCCAGCGAGCTGAGTTTTGTTCTCAGTTTGAGACACTCGAAAACAAGTACCAAGAGTTTAAATCGATTAACGAGCGCGAAACTTATTAGTCAAATATAGACAAAATTTGAATCGTATTTTTAAAAATTTATAATTAATTCCTTCATATGGTACTTCATTCTCATACCGTTGAAGATGTGGTCCACCATAAACTGATACAAGTGTTGGATACGGCGTTTGATATATTTGTTGTTCATTATCTGGTGTATAAAGTGCACAATAGAGTGTATCATTATTTCTATTTAATATTGAGAATAATTTTGGTTTAACAAAATTAAATTGTTCCATTATTTGCATTCGATCTCGCTGTAAATGATCTAAGGTATTGACGATTTCTTTCTTTTTAACATCCAACATTCTTATTAATGGATATTGTTCTATTGAACTCCATTGCGTGATACAATATTGATACGTTTGATTAAAACAATAAACTGTATGACAACCAGATTCTTGTGTTATACGTTCTATTTTTGATGTTGCATCATTATAATTAACACTGTACAGATGAATTTCAAGTGGTGTTTCACGATTAGCTAGAAAATAAATTATTGAATTGGTTTCATCAATAGCAGCAATACGTTGTACAACCCAATTTCCATTTGTTAAAGTTTTTATTAAATTTCCAGTATTATAATCATGTACTTCTAAATGCATAAAACCACTTCGTTCACTACCCCATATAAATTGTGTTGGCGTTAATTTCAATGTATAAAATAAATCATGCAAATTAATCCATATTTGACTCGTATCTTCAATTAATAATTTTAATGTTTTTTTATTAATAAAATCATATTGAAATAATTTTAAATTAGTTTGTTGACGATTTTCTATTTGTATTGCCACACTATTATCAGGAAAGAAATCAACACGTGCTATATAATAATCGTCAAATTCGCTTAAATCAACCCAATATATAGTAGGTTGTTTTCTATCATTGTCATTTTTTAGATCAATAATACCAATTGATACTTGAACATTGACTTTACCGGCAAAAGGATATCGATGTTCTTCAATCTAGAATATTGAAAATGAAATACGAATTTTCTTTTTCTTATTAACTTGAATATTTTTCTTTTCTTTTTTTACATGATCAGGATCGTCCGAACCGGAATGTGATATGCGAAAAGCTGGTACATTGGACTCGTCAACTTGAGTAAATGCAATATAATTCGAATCATCTGACCACCAATAACCATCATTGCGATCCATTTCTTCTTGAGCTATAAAATCTGCCATACCATTGGTTTTATTTGGACGGCCACGAGCATCAAATGTTAATTGGCGTGGTTTTGCTGAAGGTACTGATGATACTGTTGATATACAATAAAGTTCACAGTCTTGAATATAAGCAACTAATTTTCCATCCGGTGATAATTTAGGATCAGTAATAGATGCTTGATGAAATCCACTGACTAAAAGACGAAGTTGTTTTCTATCATACATATAAAGATCACCAGCGATAGTGATGAGCATTAATGATTGAGTTTTATTTCTTGACCATTGGTAACGAATTACGCCAGTCATCAAGAGACGTTGACGCTAAAATGAAAAACAAAAAAAATGCTATATTTCAATATTCTGGATATACAATCGAACAGTTTGCTTTTGTTCATAATGAATTTTTTCTCATGTACTTGTTATTTAATATATAATATTTATCTAGATAGATTCAATTTTTAGAATTACAATTAAGAAAACGAAAAATTTCTCTTGAATTCATATGAGCTCATTTTATACTCTTCTCAATTGATTATTTTTTTTTTGGAAAAAAATCGAAATGATAATTTAAAAGATTGACTTCTACTAAAAATATAATCAATCATTCTTTCTTTCTGGATAAAAGAAAAACACACCTACTTCAAGTCGAAGTTTTTCTTCGTGTGAAAGATTATTTTCCATAGTATCATCATCTTTTTCCGGTTCGGTATAAAGAAATTCTTTGTCAGTTCGAAGATCATATGCATACAATCGTCTGCTTGCTAATTGGCTTGGTGAACGAAGATAAGTTAATAAATTATCATCAGGACTAAAATGTATCAATTCAGCTAGATTATAACCAGGCTGTGGAAGTGATGCCACGTCCAAGCTCGTGATTCGTCTATAGGGCATCTAAGAAAAATAATCATTCCACATATGCATTAATTATTGCACAAAAGAAAAGCAATAATATATATAAGAATCGATCTTGATTATATATAAAGATGATGCGTGGTTTTTTTTAGTGATTAAAAGCAGACAACCAAAGAGAAACACAAAGTATTGATAAAAGAAATATTTAAATATATCAGGAAAAAAAGCGAATGTACATGAAAATCAGGTCTATTATTTTTAGTCCCGTTTTTTCTGTTGAATTTCTTGTTGAGATTGCTCGTATGATGGTGGTGTTTGAAAATACTAGAATAATCAAGGAAACGAGTGAGAAAGTTTCTAAGCAGTAATAGTATGTCATACTTGTTGTTGATTCATCTGTGGAACATACATTTGGCCACCATAGCTATTATCTTGATAAGCTGGTTGAGGTGGATATTGCATTGGTGCTTGATATCCATTTGGAATTTGAGGATACATATTCGAATTATTTCCTTGTGCCGGTGGAGCTGTTGGCATTTCAGGGTATTGAGGAATGAATTCAGCCTTTGGAAGGCCTGTTGGTTGTCTTTGATAGACTCCTTCATATGGTGCTTGTGCCGGGGATACATACATCGTTGTTTCTAAATTCAGACAAATAGATAAACGTCAATCTTATTTCATCGACAGTTTCTCTTGTAGCGTTTAAAATTGAATATTAAAAATAATTTATGCAACTGACTTATTAATAGTTCTTTCTAATTCGAAACTTTTTCGTTTTTCAGCTTCTTTTAAAACTATTGATGCGAATTTTTGCGTCATAGACATTACTCATTAAGCCTTATTTAACGATGTACAAGAAATGTTTAGTGTTTTTCAGTAATCGTCACAGGAAGATTATTTTGAATATACGCCTTTTTACTTGAAGTAATATACTCGATGACATACTTCTCTTAGATTACTTTTAGCGCTACGACTTATGGTCTAAATCGACACTATTTATATTCCTACGGATATAATAAATACAACACACATAATCTAGATATGAATACTTGAATTACAAAATTAATAATCTGGTTATGAATTATTTGACACTATATTTATCTGATCTGTTTTACTATCATATCATTCTTCTTTTTTTCGCCAGATTTGAAACCGAGCATGACTAATACATATAGATATGAAGCTGTTCTGTGTAAGGGTAAATATGCACGTGTGAGATCAAGTGATCTTATTAATCTACTGTACCAAGCGCCCTTCGTGCATACCTATTATGGCTTGACTCGACTAAATGTTATCAACACATACTATAATCATGAATTTCATTGAAATTCAAAAAAAACTCAAGTGGTCATATCGAAACTAAAAGATATCCTATTTCAAATATAATTTACCAGCATAATTATTACTCGACGCTTGTGCTGCTTGATATGATGGCGGTGGTGGTTCATATAAATTAGCTGTAGCAATGCCATAAGATCTAGAATAATTCAATTAAGATACTTGTATTGAAATAAGGGAAAAAATTGTAATTTACGGTGGTGCTGCTTGAGGGTGTCGGTGAACTGTAACAAAAAGCAACAACAACATAATCAATGAAGTTTATCATTACCATAAGATAAATAACTCACAAATACTGTTGACCTCACGTAATGCTTTACTAGCATCAATAGCACCACCCGACGAGTACGTTAATTGAAACTTAACTTCGCCTTGAAATCCACCTAAACACAAAAAAAAGCAAATGTCAATCATAGCACATGTTCTTATCAATTAATTGATTAAACGATATGTATGTATATATATGTATGTATGATGAAACAACAACGAAAAGAAAAATAGAAAATTTAACTATGATTACTAAACAACGAATAGAATACGTATTCCTATGTTTTATTACTATTATTATTAATATTCAATTGACAAGTGAACAAGGATTTGAACAAGATTATTATCGATACTTGCAACAATTTGGTTATACACCAAAAGTTGAAGGTCGTCGACTTTTTTCTGTAATTACTCGATCTTCATATACAGAAGGAATTCGTAAGTTTCAACGTCTTTACAAATTACCTGTAAGTTCATTTTTCATCAAATTATGTAATAATTCATATTCACTCAATCATAGGAAACAGGGCAACTTGATGAACGAACAAAATATCTCATGCAAAAAGCTCGATGTGGAAATCCTGATCTGGGTACTTATGATTCGATTGGACACCCAGTTGATGTTGATAAAAGTGAATCTTTTTCTACGCATGTACAAGGACGATCGGGAAAAACTAAAGTCGCTGAAAGTTCTTCGAAACCGACACATATCTGGTCAAAAAGACATTTAAAATGGTATATTGTAAGATATCCTGAGCAACAAAAGTATATTACATCAAAAAATCATATTCTACGTGTAATAAATCAATCGTTTTATGATTGGCAAAAGCATTCAGGACTAACATTCGAGATGGTTGAAACAAAACAAGAAGCGGATTTGAAAATAAAATTTCAAGCAAAAGATCATGGTGATGGATATCCATTCGATGGACCTGGTTCCACATTAGCACATGCATTTTATCCAACTGCTGGTGATATTCATTTTGATGACGATGATGATTTCACAGATGAATATAAAGATGATGATCAATTGTATACATTGAGACTTGTTGCTGCACATGAAATAGGTCATGCACTTGGTTTATCACATTCATTTGAACAAGGATCACTTATGTATCCGATGTATCAACAGTTCAATTCAACTTATGAATTATCCAGTGATGATCAAGAAGGTATACAAACACTCTATGGCAAACCAGAAATAAAGTCTATACCACCCAAACAACCTAAAACAACTTTGTCATCATCATCATCATCATCATCATTCATCACATCAACATATTCTTCGGATATATTACCAATTGATAATTGGTGTGCAGAGGAATTTCAAACAGGTTGCGAAGGTCCCGACGGTGAACTTTATTTATTTAAAGATAATCAAGTATGGAGATATCAAGCAAGAAAAAAACGCTCATGGGATTCTCAACCATCATTGATAAATGAACGTTTTCCATCGCTAACTGATGCAAGCATAACCGCTTGTGTTAGATCATCAATTGGTTATACGTATTTATTTCGTAATTATCTTATGTGGCAATTTAAAACACATTGGTCTTTTGATGGACCATATATATTGCATGGTAAAAATTATCCGCAAAACCCTCGCATAGCTTTATTACATCGAAACTCAATCTATTTAATACGCAATCGTTTAGCATTTCGTTTGAATGAATTCGATCACAATAGAGAGCTGGAAATTCATAACATCGATGAAATACTTAATCCACCACCAAATGAATTTATACAATCGGGTTTTACGTATGCTAAACGTCATTATATATTTACAAGAGATTTTGTTTATGTCTACGATTCAATACATGGAAGTTTACTACCTAGTTATCCGAAACCTAGGATAAATGGTTGGTTTGCATGTGAAGCAACATATCAAGTATCGAAATCGAGAAAAACATCCACAACAACAGCAACAACAATAATGAGAGCTTCATCAGCAGAATCACCTCGACGACATGATCACGATCACGATGAAGATGATCATAATTTTCATCATCACCATCACCACAGTCATCATCGACCTAGACGACCTTTTCAGCATCGTTTACCTCCTCATGGATATCGTCGTCGTTGGGAATATTGAAGAAAATAATGCTATTCTTTTTTGTAAACATTGATTTAGAGCGCGAACACATCTTTAGAATGCAAAATAAATATCTAGTTGAACAAAATTTTCATTCATTAATATTTTTAGAAGTAATTCTGATAATTTATTTTCTATGAGTCATTAAGAGTTAAACTAATGTACATGTTATTTAATATTGAACAAACGAGTTAGAGATTTCGAAATATCAGGATGAAGATACGATACAATTTCCTTATTCTAAATTAATTCATAACTTTGAACAATGTTGACAGAGTTATTTTGAGAGAAAAACATTCGAATTGTAATAAAATCTCCATCGGCTCCATAGATGATCATTCCTTATTCACAAGTCGTACTTCTTATATCAAACAATAGAAAATGCTATGTCTCATCATTGTATTTATAGAACAATGTAATCTGTTTTTCCGGTAAACTTCAGAAAAACTCGAGTAGGAAAAGCAACAAAACCTAGCATAAACAATTCCTGGTACTTTTGACGATTAAGATTTGTTACTAACTTTTTCTATTTTCAACATATAGATGTTCTTTTTAAACTAGACGAATATTGCATTCAGAAACTAAAAAACTAACCGTTTGGATGTGCACCAGCAGTACCAGAAATATAATTTGCACCAAATATTGGCTGTTCAACACGCAGATTTTTCATACACATAAAGGCCACAGCAAATGAAAGTAAATGATCTCGTTGATCATCACTAAGAAAGATCATTCGATGTGTTGTCACAAACACTTTTCCTTTATGTTTTCCACGAAAAGCTTCACCACATTGACGACTTGTATCATCAAATGTTAATGTTACATTTTTCGAATGATTTACTATTCTAAAATGAATTTATAGAATAACAAAAATATGAACTATTTTATAAAAAAAAAGATTGGATCTCCTTACTGTTCGCCTTGATAAAGTAAAAGACCACCCTGATAATGTGCTTGGTTAATTGACATCGTTCTTTTTATGTGTTAAAATATATATATATATATATATATAAATAATTATTCGTAATTAATATCCGCAAAAAATAAAAGTAAAATTGATATCTTTAGAAAGATATGGTAAGTTAAACGATTTTCGTAATGACAAAATGATCCAGAATTTTCCTTTGGACCCTACTAGAGATTCTTGAGGGTTACTCATCGAACCAATCAGTTAATGCATTTTTATGTTTCCATGCTTACTTTTAATAATTTAAATTTCTTGTCACATTTATTTACAATTAAATCAATTCAGAAAAGATAATATATTGAAAATAATGATTCGTTCAAATGGTCGACTAATGTAAATGAGCGTCATCTGTCTGCCACTGAAAGAGCTAGAGCAGCGTCAAGCGCTGAAGAGAACTCAATGCTCAGTTAACAGTTTTTCTTTGAATCAATAAATTATCACAACTGCTATTAATTTTTATTTTCGTCAATAGTTGATTACTTTTTTATATTTATTTCCTTAATACTGCCTTCGGTTCTTTCCGATTCATAGATAGCATTTAGTTTTAGTGAATCTTTGCTACGCAATCAGAATTGAACGACATTATGAAAAATACAATCTTGAAATGTTATGTGCTACGATTTAATCAAAGATCACATGCAATGCCGTAGACCCTCATCAGGGTCTACGGTAATTGGTCGTATTATAGAATGGGTCGAAATTCTCGAAAATAAAATTGTAGAAAAGTTTTTATTAGTTTTACAGAAAAATAACTCAGAGAGATCTAGAAAATAGCTAACAATCTATTCGAAAATCAGGAGCATTCAATATGAGTATAAATATCAATATTTAACAAACTCTTCTAATTACGTATAAAGCATTACATGAGAGTCAGTGGTAGTTGCTTTAAAACTTTGCTTAATGCGAATGATTTTTTTCTTATCCAGAGACCTCTGTCTGCTGCGCTACTCGCTACTCCATAATGAATATAGTTTTCATCTTATCATAATATTTCGATGAAGCTAAACAGCGAATGCCATCATTCAGTTAGTGTTTACCAGCGAGACCATCTACTTATCTATTTCATGAAGCACATCTTCATTTTTTACACATACCCTCTCAGCCTCAAGCTGTGCTATGTGTGACTGAGTCACGCTTTTGTAAATTGAAGTTTTTTTGAAATAGAAAAGAATCATGCTTCTGTCAAACATGCGACGAAATCTACACTGCGACTAATTGTCGTTCGGCCAATTCATCAATATGCAATCTTAAGAATAATTATACATTAGATTTTTTAATTTTGTGAAACAATGCTAAATAAATTATAAATCTGTGATCATTTCACAAAAACTTCAGTAGAGCACTTGCAAAACGTTTATTTTTACAACGCAAGTACTAAATAATTGTACTCAGATTCTAGTACAAGCACTACTCGTGGATACTCGAAATCACGAGTACTCGATGAGTGAGCACACTTTCACGTAGGCAGCGCTGTAATAAAGCATCAGTGTGATATTTCAAGTTTCACATAAGTTAAGAGAAAAAGGTTTTTTTCTTGCTTTGTTTTCGATGTATGTGGGCTGAAATTAATTCTTGACTTGAACTTTGATCCGAAGGATAAGTTAATATTTCGAAGAAGACACTTGACGGCATCTTCATTAGTATACAATCAAAACTTAAGAAATACAGATTTGTACTTTTCTCACACACACTCTCTCTCTCTCTCTTTATTTTGTACATCATTAGTCTCCAGCAATAAGCAGATATTTTATAGTGTCTATTGTTTTTCTTGTCATCATTTCGATTCCTTATAGAAATATACTTTCTCAATGTTTTTTTCCTGTATTTTCGATTGTAATGTTTCTTGTATAAAACGGCCATGTTACATATGAATGATTTAATATAAAAGTGAAGATACTGTTGAAATGAAATATATATTTTGACTCACTCACAAAATAAGCCATCACGTTCTTGTCGTTGGCCTCGTTGCGAATAAAATTCTAAAATTGTTTTTGATGAAAGATATTTTCGTTCTTATTATTTTTTTTGTTTTTGCTCACAGAATTTCAATTCAAAGCTCTTAATGGTATTTTATTCAAATTAGTGCAAAGAAAAAATATACCGTAAACGACTGTATTAGTTCATATCTGTTGCATTTTAGAAATAAACATATAATTGCAAGGAATAATATTATTTTTTACTGTTATGTGTAGCTAACTTTGATAAATTTGTCCAAATGATCTTCTTAAAAAAGACATGCGCACCAGTTGTGCTTTATGATAAGAAGGAAAAAGTCGTAACATGCAAGATTTTAAAAAGTAAGAAAAAAAGTTGAAAAAAAAACAACATATATACAATAAAGATCAACAAAAAATCCAATAGATTTAAAAAGCAACAGTTCATTATATTTGTTTTAATTTAATATTGGAATGTATGAGAAAGTGAAAAGCGAATGGTGGAGCGCAACGACCATTTACAGAAACATAACGAAATACACACTGTAATAAAACAAAAGTAGAGGAACACGAGGATTTGTTTTCTGTTTAACTTCAGTTACGACAACAAATTGATTTTTTCGATGATTTATCTAAATCAATGCCTGTTGTATGAAAACGTTCTATGTCTTCATTGCACTGCATATCGCTATAATTAAATAGAGGAAAAAAATAATAACAGGATGATTCTTGATAACTATCACAGCAGCTATCTTTTTAATCCAGCAATAATATTGCATACTTACCGAGCTAATTCACAGAGTGCTTCCTGCAAATTGGTGCCTTCTTTTGCACTTGTCTCAATAAATAATGCTTTATATTCCTAAAATAAAAATATCAAAAAGGTTATATATATATATTGATTTATACGCATCTTAGAAACTAACTTTAGCTAGTCTTACTCCTTCACTTTTTTCTATAACACGTTTTCCTTCTGCACGCATTTGATCTCTCAGGTCAATTTTATTTCCAACAATCATAACAGATACTTTTTTTGGTGTTGCATCGATTATTGTATTAATCCATTCCCGAACATTTAGAAATGATCGTTCATATGTGGAATCATAAACTAGAATGACACCATCACATCGACGAAAGTAGGATTTTGCAATGCTACGAAACCTTTAAAAACAAAAGTTTGTTGAATTAAAGTAAAACAAGTCATTTCTAACCTTTCTTGTCCAGCTGTATCCCATAGTTGAAGAGCTACACGTTTACTATCGACTTCAATTTGTTTATTTTGAAAATCAACGCCTAATGTTGAATTAATATTTGATACGAATTGTCCCTTGCATAAACGTACGATTAATGTACTTTTTCCCACAGCAGCATCTCCACAAAAGACAACTTTGAACATACGACTAGAAAGAAAAGGATATTGAAAAAGAAAAAACACGCAAGTCTATTATTTACTCGAATGGTACATCTTGTTGAGTACCATGCTCAGCATTGAACTGTGTTGTAGGTAACTGAGTGATTGCTGGTGGAGGATTGGGCGGCTGTTTTGATGTGCCACGTGCATTGTTATTTGGTCGCTTCAATGATCGCTGTTGAGGCAATCTTTTAGGAAGATTGCAATCAAGTGATACCTATTAAGATGCATGCATCAATACTTTTACTTTGTTTATGCAAGTCACTTGTTAGAGAATAAGTTTGTGCAGATAACCTTATTTTGTCTTTAGCACTCTTCTAGAATTGATTCATTGTCAAGATTGGATGTTCAACTCGCTTTAAGAATAAATATTTAGGTATTCTCGAACGGAGTAAAACAGTATCAAAAAAGACATGCGTGATTTTGAAAAATTCAAGGTCATGCATAATAAACTGTGCTCATTTATAACAACGTTGTCCTAGTGCCGTAGAATATTGAAGAGATTTAAAAGAAAAACTTTTATCGAAAGACTTATACGTGCTTTAACCCTGATTATCGTAATATAAGAGTTAGCAATGAATAACTCTACTAGACTTCATAGATTACGGGGTTATTTCCTTCTAAAGATTTGCAAAATAAATTTATAAAAAAGAAGAATTCTTTTATACCTCAGTAAAAACATCATCTGAATCTGACTCTGTATCATCGCGATTATTTTTATTAATCATTGGTCGATGTTGTTTCAAATTCTTTGTTGATATCTGTTTGTTTGTGTTTGATTCACGATCAGATTCTAATTCAGTTGCATCACGTAATGTTGTCATCGACAGTCCACTGTCTATATCAAATTTATAAAAACAAAAAAATAATTTAATCAATATATTGGCATAGATTCTATGAGACTAAAGCTGATGTTAAAACTGATCACATAAGAAAAGCTCGTTAGATTTTTGTTTTTAATTAAATACATATAAGGTTTACGAATTTGTTATACATGTCAAAAACATGATCACATGAAAACAAACCATTCATAGCATTGTATTCATCGGCACTACGAGAAAGATTAGAAACTGGTGCCAATGGTACTATTTTGTTTGATGAGTCCTTAACAGCTAGTTTTTGAACCGGTCTAAGCCCACTACCATGTATACCTATTTCATCAGTTGATTCGATGTCAAATGCGTCGAACCTGCGTTGATTTTTACTCATTATATACGACGGTGATGAGCTGTATAAAAATAATAGATAACAACTTTTGTTTTTCTGGTTAAATATCGAATTATGTACCTGTCTAGTTTTGAATTATGCCAATAAGAACCTAGTGTAGACCCAGCTGGAGAATATAATTGATGTGGTGATGGAAAACCCTAATGATAACTCTGAATAAATTTTTACAATTAAGTTTTATTTTCATTTACATTTGTAGGAGTGGCACTTAATTTATTTGATTTATTCAATTCAATAACTGCACGTAATGAGTCATTTTCATCACGAAGTTGTTTATTAACTTCCCTGTTAAAATCGGAAAAAAGGGTTATTTATATTCGATATTCGTTTGTATTTATTTTTATATTTTCGATTACGTACACAAGATGACGAACATTTGTCTGTAATGACTCTTTGTCTCGATAGTTACTTGATGATGATTGTTTCTCACTACAATAGAAGAAATAATCTCAGCAATAAATAGTCTTTTCGTCATACTGTAAAAGCATTGTTTGTCCTTCACTTAATTGAGTTTTATATGATTGTAAATCACTTTGTAAAATAGCATTTGTTGTTAAAGTTTCATTTAAAGATGCATTAAGCAATAGATTTTCTTCGTTTAATTTTGCAATTTCTTCACGTAATGAATTTATTGAAAAATCTTCTTCATTCTTACGATTACTATGAACTTGTTCAATCTAATCTCATGAAATAAGAGAATAAAAAGTAGCTAGATAGTGTTGTTAGCATAAAAAACAAAAATAAGAATATCTACATACAGTTCGAAATCGTTGGATACTTAGTTGTAAATCATTAATTTCTTTTGTTAATCGTTGTTGAATTAAATCACGGTCGAGTTCAAATTTCTGACGTTCCTTTTTAATGAAAAGAAGAGAAATTTTGCAAACAACTTTTGGAATAGTTTTAATTTTAATTTTACTTCTTGTCGAATTTTTTCTTCTAATTCACTCATATCTCGTTCTTGATCTTCTTCAATTTGTCTTAAATATTTCTCATTGGTATCTTTTTCACTGAAAATATTCGAAGAAAAGAAAATCATTTCAAAACAAAAGCCTACAACATAACACTACATTATTCATACCGCTTAAATGAATCTTCCAATCGTTTTATTTCTTTACGATATTTAAGAATATCACAAACAATAACTTCAAGCACCGATTGAAATTGTTCAACAGCACCATCTGAACTATTTCGAAGTGTTTCATAAAAATCATAGATTTGTTCCTGACTATAAAACAAAAACAAATCATATTTTTATGTTCATCTAGTTTTTATAAAAAAAATCCTATTAGTTTATTATTATTATTCTTCACTTTTTTCAAAGTCACATTGCTTTGTCATAAACAAAAATGTTGTTTTGTATCTATCAATTTATCTCATGTCCTTCGAATTAGTAAATATTTTGACAAAAATCAAATAGTGCAACACTTTTATGAATGCACAATCTATCATACATACTTGGAAAATATATCATCATCAGGACCTTTATCATTAATCTTGTTCATGGTATAATTAATGTAATGTTCTCTTTTTATTAGACTCTGCACACACGTTCTATTGAAAAATATAATAACTAGGATCGTTTGCCTCGTAGCATTTTCGATATAGTCATTTTCATTATAGTTGTTTTTCTCTTCGTTCTGTTTTTTTTTCCCTCTTCTTTCTCTTAATTATATGCATAATACTGTACATAAATATATCAAAACAACAACATGCTCTTATCAACAAACAGTGACTTGACTTTTTTCTTTTATGCTAACGACGAAAACGAAAGGGGGGAGGGGGAGGACTGATTTAAAATGATTGTATATCGAAAAGAACGGGAAAAAAAAACAGTTATCAATATGATGTAGGTGTCAATATACTTGATATTAATCATCCATATCGCCCACATGAATATCGATACTACCTATGTATTTCAATGGATTCGTTTTTTCCAATGAAAAATAATGTCTTCAAAACAATGTTCTATCATATTTTTCCTACCATGATAGATTATTGAACACATCATTGATTTGTTCGTGTGTCAGGCTTTCTTCTGTATTACGTTGATGATCAATGACATCATGTTGGTATAGTTTTCGAGAATAATTATTTGATGCCATCAGTTTCTGCAAACACATAAAATTATAATCATGATCAAAATATTTTGATTAAAATAGTCTATCGATTTTTGATTATCATAAATACTGTCAAATTTCTTCAAAATTTGATGTACAGATGCAACTATTTCTATCATTATCGACTCTTTTGAAAAAATGCTTTTATGGAATTATTATCGCTTACTATTAAGTATACAGATCACACTCGTTTGAATAATTGCTTCATATTAACACTACTATTTTTCGACTTTTTTTGTCAGTTAATGTCAACAACAGCTTTGAGTAGTTGCACCAGCTGGTTTTCATACTCTGCAAAAGAACAACATCGACAAAATCAGTATATAAATAAATACCGATTATTGATATCGATAGTTTATGAGTGGCTAAAGAACAAGTGACACTTTTTTTCTATACAATTCTGATTATATTCGGTACTAAATCTCAGTAAAATCTTATATATATACAAGAAAAATACCTGGTCCTAAATCAAGCTTGATTTATAATGGGAGTGAGAAACAGAACGTTGCTCTTGACAAGTATTGTAGAATATCAGGCATTAATCTTTATTGGTTAGGTATTAGCATTTATCTTAAGTAACATATGCACACAAGAAAAACATTGATGAGGTATATTTATCAAATATTCTTAATTCTTATCAAAGAAGTTTTCATAAAGTTAGGTTAAAAACAAATCTTTTTTATTGTTAATCAGTATAAACTATAAATGCAGTTGCTGTAGCAACCATATCATAACCGATTTTAGCTTGTACAGTTATTGATCCATCGGTATCTTGATTCCATAAACATCGTGATACAATGGCCATTGATTGATGTGTTAGTCGATTAGGTACCGTTTGTACGACCGAGATCATTATAATAATTTTGTATCGTACAGAATTCAGATATTCCAATTTTAAAATTCGACGTAATTGTATAACTAAATCACGACTAATATCGGATGATAATTTTGAATTGTATTTAGCATGTTTAGAAATTCTAGCACAACGACGATTGAGTTCGGATTCAAGGAGTTTTTGTGCGCGTACAAAATCGTATTTTTTCGTAGGACCAAGAGAATAAGCTAATGAACGAGGACTTTGACTAGCAACAGTTCCCTCAGAATTTACAATGGCTGGTGGAATCAAATGTTTACTCAATAATGGTAGAGCTAAGTTAGTAGATAATGGCGAGTCGTTTGGTGGTTTTGCTATAGACCAAGCTTTTTCAAGTATGCTTCGAGCTATTAAACGTTTTGTTTCCATCACAATTCTTATTTTGTACTATTTTGTCGATGCTTTCTAGGAAAACATGCCTTTATATATCGATAGCAAGGCATAATTCCTCTTTTATTCAAATTGAACATGCAAGTAACAAAACTATTACACGGCTGTGTTTGCCAATCAATCTTATTTCTTTGTATTACGCTAACGGTCTTTCATTTTACAAGAAATTGGACCACCTGAATACGTTTTTTTTTCTTCTTTCTTCTTCATTGCTCAACTATTGTTGTTATGCAGCACCATCTCAAACAACAGAAAAAGACGAGAAGAAGAAAAAAGAAAGAATGAACGAACTGAATATACACAGATAAAAGAAGAGAAAAAAAAGTGTGTACCGTTGAAAGAAACTAAATGGTTGACTAGTAGGACAAGAACGTCAGCGTACAACGTCGGTGTAAAAGAAAAAGAAAAGTCAGATAAAAACTCGATAATAGTATGTATCACAGAATTCCTTGACAACGAGAAATTTTTTTCTTTTCTTTATTACCGAAGAGAAAACTCCATTGAAATGCCCTCATTACATCAACAATCACATGTCATTGAACTAGAAACAGCAAAGATGACTGTATCACCAGAAATAGATTGGAGAAAACGCTATGAGCAATTGCAATTTGAACATCAACTTGAAATCGAACGTATTCGTCTTCATTATGATCATGAACTTAAAGAAAAACTAACCGGTTAAAAAAGCATTAAACAGAAAAAGATAATGATGTATAATAATAAATATTATTCTATGTATATTTAGAAATTCGCATGCGTTTAAAACATGAATATGATCGTCATTTTGCTGAATTTCGAGCTCGACTATTAGAGCAACAGCAAGTACATAATGTTAGTTCACATAGTTTAAATCTTGATCAAAGTCTTGGTGAAAAAATTCTTGAACAAGTTCGTATTGCTGAAGAATATGATCGTTTGGAAGATGAGAAATGTCGACAGTTGCTATCACAACAGCCAACTGATAGCGATGAACTAAAACCATTGGTCAATAAATTACATACCGAAGGTAAGCATCTTACACATAGATATTATATAAAACGAAAAAAAAAAGATAATTTATACTTTTAAATTTCAATGGGACTACTTAAAAATGTTGTTCTTAATTTGTGAACAATGCAAAAGAAAACTTTATAGTACTCTCAAGAGTATTCTTTTGTATTCAACAAATCAAAAGAATAAACAGAATTGAGACAGATTTTTCTTTGTTTATTTGATGAATCTATTACAAATCTACTAATCATATATTTTATTTACTACCGATAGAAATTTTAGTTGAAGGATGTAACTAAATTGTGTAGATAAAAAATTTGTACGATTCCTTCAACCAATGAAGTCGTATAAAATCCAGCAAAAACAACTTGACACATATGTTAATTATTTACAACGATATACGTAATCTATAAAATGAGACGTTCTTAATTTGAGTAACGCATATCATTGAATTCAATAGCTTTCATGAAATACTTGGATTTTTAAATCAAAAATTTTCTATACATTTTTCACTTTTAATTGTGTATCATTTAATAAAATGATGAAATAGTAGTAGTAGTAGTAGTAGTAGTAGTAGTAGTTATCTAGAAGACAAATAATTTCTGCTCGTTAAAAAACGAAATAGTATTCTTTATTAACAAAGTATCTATAGTGACGAATTGAAATAAGATATTGAAAAAAGAAAAGCAAAATGACTACGATTATTGTATTAGCAAATCAAATGTTTTTTTTATTCAAGAAACAAATTTTGATTAGTTTTCATTTGAATAAATTCTTCTAATGATCTTCTAACCTAATTTTTTTAATCAAAATATATTATTATAATGAACTTCTAATTGAACAATCGAAAATTTTGTATTTGAATTACTTTAATTAATAATAGCTGTTTTTGTTTTTGTTATAACTATTCGGATGTAGATTTCAGTACGCACATATATTTTATCTACGTAGAAGACAAATAGCCTATGGCGTATTATTCTTAGTAGAAAAAAAGTTCACTGATTTTTCAATTATTTAAACACAAATGTTGAGACTCAATGGAGTAGAGTATGTCATTCTCTTCTAATGTATCTTCAGACTTTACTTGCAGGTCATTTCAAAAGATTTTAAAATAGTAATGTCAAGGAATCATGCTTTCTTGTTCAATTGAAAACAGTCGAATCCAAAATGAATGATATTTTCTGATGATTTCATTTGTTGTAGAAATTAAACTTTTTTTTTTGGTCGGTTTACATGACAAATTTTTAAACATTTTGTATTTTCAACAAGAGTAGTTGGTCTTTCAATTCGATTCATAAAGCATCGGAGAAAATTAAAAGTTTTCTTATTTATTTTTCGATTTTAGGTATACATGTTTTAACATTAAGTGAACTTTTATCATTAAAAATAAATGGTATTAATATTGGTACGACAGATGCGTCGATAGGTTCGATACAAAAATTAAATGAAGAAAATTCTTATCTTCGTTCATTAATTGCAAATATGAACGCTAATGATAGTGGAGATGCATTAATAAAATGTCTTGCAGAAATATTTCGATGTGAACAAGAACGCCGTTCAATTGAAATACGTAATCATAAAAAATATGACCAATTAGAACAAGATATTCAGAATATGTGCGAATATCAACGTGATGCATTAGGAAAATTATTATCACAAGATCGTGTTCTATTGATCAAAGAACTTGAAGAAACAAAAGAACAAGTACATTATTTAAAAGATAAATTTGATCAAATCAAAAAAACTCAAAATCAATCAACTATCCTTAATTCTCATAATTTAAATAAGTTTTATTTTAAATATTTACGTTGTGAAGCTTATCGTAAAGCATTAATTTATCAAAAACGCTATTTACTTATTTTACTAACTGGTTATGAAGATACTGAAACATATGCCTTAAGAGAAATCAAACGTTTAACAGGAAATATGAAATCAAGTGTTTATGATTACCATCAGATAAAATCAATATCTAAACAAAAATATCATCGACGTGCATTCAACTATCGGTTTCGTTTTCGATGCTATGTTACAGTTGTTATTGGAATGATTCGAATGCGTTGGCTTGTGAAAAAATGGGCACGAAAATTAACATCTATTCAATGAATATTTTTCTTTCTTTCTTTCTTCTTTTGTTTTTGAAAATGTTTTTTTGCTTTTTCTTTTGTAAATTTTATCAATGTAAATCTATAGATGTTAATTGTAGAGAGATAGAAATAAAATACACAACTATCTCATCAAGAATAAAAATCAATAAATGTAATATTATCTGACCCCGAACTGAATGCCACCATGTCTGACAATGGTTGACATTTATTTGTGTTTTTTTTTGTGGTATAGTGCAGCTATGGTTATGCATTCCTCATATTGAAGGTTAAATTAATGCCTCGAAAGAAACGCATTTTGTGGCTTCTATCTTAACAATGGCCAAATGACTTCAATACAATGATAGCGCACATGCCTATTTAGTATCACGAACAAACAACATGAATTCGTTTTCTCTTGTTCTCTCTCATTGATTGGAGAAAAATAAATAACTTAGATAAGAAGGGTATTATCACTCGTTCCGCACACTCGACATTTATCAATTCATTTTTTTTACCATCAACGATTACTATATAGATTACAGTTTTCATACATTCTTGCCTCTTATTTCAATTTTTTTCTTCGTTTTTCAATCATGGCTCGTCTTCTTTTGCAATTGTTGGCTTTACAATTCATTTTTATTGCAACAGTCTTCGGTCTGTTTGGATCATCGAATAAACTCAAAGGAGCAACTAAATATCAACTTCAACAAAAAGTTCTTACACTTGGTTCATCATATACCATCAAAGATGATCATGATAAACCAGTTTATAAAGTAGAATTATTTAGTTGATTTGTAAAATAATTTTACATAAAATTTCTTTTAGGTTGGATTTAAACAATTAGGCGTAGGTAAACATCTTCAACTCACTGATGTCTCTGGTGCTCAAGAATTTTATTCTAGTAAGTTATTCAACAAAAGAGCTCGTGTTTATTAATTGTTATTTTGATTTCCTTAAGTTAAACACGTTCTCAATCCACTTGGTCTTGCCAAATATGAAATTCGTAGTCATAATCAAGTAGTAGCTGAAGTAAAGTAAGTGTCTTTGCAGTTGAATATTAAATAATAAGAATGAACTTTTAGTCGTAAAATAAATCTTATTGGTGGTAAAAAATTTTCAGTTAAATCAAAACATGGTACATTTAAAATCGAAGGCAATTTTCGATCACGTGAATTTAAAATTAAAAATGGTCATCATCTTGTTGCCACTGTTTCAAAGAAATTCTTTGCTATTGGTGATAAATATGGTGTTCAAATTGAACAAGGTCAAGATGTACCATTTATTTTAAGTTTGGCCATTGTCATTGATGAAGTAGCTCATGGATAAAAATCAGTTCTCTTTTTTTTCTTCAATGAACTATGTCTTTCTTTATCGCTATCGTACTCTTTTTATCTAATGTAGTTTATCTTCTTTTCTTTTCAATGATTATCAATATATATGAAAGATATTCATTGCATTAAACATAATTGAAAATCTTGTGAAAAATAAAAAATTCTAAATTGTTATATTTTTTCTAGGTACATGATATACGATAAAGCTCACAAAGGAAAAAAACATTGTGATTTAAGAAAAATGTTTTATCACTTTGATACCATAATTTAACCTCTGTACTCACTACTCTGTTGGTTTTCTTTACTTTTGTTTTTCACTATTGAAACACTTTGTGTAGAGCATATGATTTGTCAAAGTGACAAGTAATTCAACAAAATTCAGTATCATGTATTGTTTTGGTAGAAAATATGATATTCGACCTTTCAAGGATATTTAAAATAGAGCATAAATTGATTACAGATTTCAAACGATTACTATGAACTCGTAGAATTATATGAACATTTTAAAGTATAAGCTGAAAATTTTAGATCATCTATAATTATCAATCTTTTGTATTAATTGCAAAATAATTTCCATTCAAAAACCGAATCTTTCTATTGTAGACACACACACACACACGCGTCATTGTTCATTAGTAGCAATTATCTATTGCAGAATATCAACAATCAAGAAGCTAGTTGAAAGAGATTTTCTAAAAATTAATTTTTTCGCTTTTATAAACTATATCTCATTAAATGCGCATCAGTCGATTTGAAAATTCGCTAGCATAAGTATATAAATCAACAGCCAATTAGCTTCATAGAATTGATATACCATAAATCTATGTTTTGTAAGAGTTTTTAATTGAAGAACCTTATCGTTTATTGAGATAAAACTTTTATAATTACAATTTTTCATGAATTGTATTTGGTTTACTCAATTTTTCGATATGTATTCGAATGGAAAATACAGCATAGCGAAAATTAAAAAAAAACACTATTAATTAGATTTCTCTATGATTCAGATATTTCTATTGATTTCAATATTTCAAAAACAAGGAAAAGTAACTTGTTTTCTTTTCTCATATTGACATGTCACACAATACATTGCCTAAGGTTTTCTTAAATTTCTTTTCCAATGAATCAATAGTTACAAATAGTATTTAGATTTCATACAAAGAGATAATCATCTGACGAGAATAATAACAGTAAAGAACAAAAGAAAAAGAAATCACAATGGACAAAAAAATACAGAGTTATGTTTTCGCGAGCGGTAATGCATCTGCTCGAATTCTAGAAAAGTCAATATTTTTATCAACTTCTTCATCGATTTCACCAATTAATGCAACATTATCACCTCGAATTATATAGAGACCAAGAAGAACTTGTTCAACACCATCTGTAGATGAAAATACACGTTCATGACTATCATCTAAAATAATGTTTATTGCTTGGTCAAATCCACGCAATGTTCCAATAATGATTCGACCATCGGCTGTGACAACATTCACTGATTTATTAACGTAAGCATCGAGTACTTGTGCCATTTATTTAATCTTATTATCGTTAGATATATTTAATCTAAAATAAAATTTCAGATCAAATTCAATGCAAATTTCATATTCGATCTTTCATCGTCATCATGTTTATAAAGCAATGTATAATAATATTTTAGTCGATTCGTTTACATAAACCACGATTGACCAATAATAAATAGTATTGAGGCCAGAGTAGTTGAATAAAGAGATAAATGAAAAAAAAATCAATTTGAATTTTGAAAGTTTTGATTTAATATATGATTTTCTAGCAAATGATTTAGCTACAGATAGTTGGTCAAGAGAGGTCGCTAATACATCGCGCACTCTGGAATTGCGCACCGAAAAACAAGTGATAACAGAAGTAGATGTTGTACAGCTAGTAGAAATTTTAACAAGGTAGTGTATCAGCTTTGAAAAACCAAAAGGTTGAATAGATTTCAAAAGTAGACGAGCAAATTTCTTCTTTTATCTATATTCTCAATCTCAAATTTCTATTCGTCTATGTTTGAATGAGTTCAATAATCTGATGGAGATATGGATTGAGTCAAGGGAGATCGAAAAATTTTACCCAGGACGAGCTTTACGACGTCCGTATACGGTGAAATACGGGCCGTATGCGGCCGTTTTCTGCCGTATACGACGGTAAATCGNCTGTTGAAATATATTCAAATAATCGAGAAAAGTCAATTGACGATATTTTCCACCGAAGCAATAATCAAAATAATGACAATTCCATCATATTTTGACCTGAAAGAAACTTATGCCCTCACTTAAAGTTGGTGATAAAGATATAAGTGTATATTCATGAATCTTTCGAGAGAACATAGAATTTTTTCGAACCCAAATGACAGACGTAGCTTAAACCGAATACTTGAACGGTATAAATGTTGACAATACTTTCGCAATTTGATTAATAAAAATTCCAATTCGCAAAACAAGATGTTAATGAGTGCCGTTTGAAAATTTCACTTAGTAATTAGTAGAAAGAGTAATGGAATCCCATGTAGAAAATGAAGGATATAATCAGGTTCAAATCGATTTTAATTTGATTATACCCTTCATTTTTTTTACATGGGATGATAATATATAGTTCAGAGATTGTACAGATCATCATTATGCGGTGAGAGATGATAAAGTGAGTTGATGTTCTTTTCGTTCTATTTAGGATTAATCATGATTTTTACTGTAGAAATAAATAGATAGCTATTTAGAAATAAAGAATTCATTTATGAAAAAGAGAACATTAGCAAACACGGTCATTTCTAATAGGGTAGTTACATATTTCTTTGAAACAACATAGATTTGGAGGTAGCAATAAACTTTTGACAATTTCCAGTTGCGGCCCAATCGATTTTTAATTGCCTAATACCGCCCATATCTCAAAATAATTTAGCTGGGAAGCGGCTCATCACTCAAAAAATCCTAGCTACGCCACTGATGATATGGAAACAAAATTAAGGGTATTAGTGAAAATTTGTTCTTGTGCTATAATATCAAGTCGCTGGGGTGCTATAACTTTTTTTTTGCATTAAAAAATCAAATTTTGGTCACCTATTTTCATGTCTATATTGGCTCCTGTTGGGTCGAATGTAATTATAATCCCTGCTATTTTCCATGTGTTCTGTAGAACACAATTTTTGAGAGATTCATAATTGATTTGTTTGTGATTTTTTCACCAACCAGTCGTTCAAACTCTTCTCTATTGCTCTAAATTAATCCTAGATTTATAATTCAAAAAAAGATTTCGCAACATGCCATTTACAATTTACTAAGCGGTAAAGGATCTCTCATGATCGGATACATGTTGCAAAGATGAAAAATATCGAGTTGATGGAAAGATCGATCTGTTACAAGAGCTCAACTCCTCATTTCAAAATGCAAAGAACTCACAGCANGGATACATGTTGCAATGACGAAAAATATCCAGTTGATGGAAAGATTGATCTGTCACAAGAGCTCCCAGGTCGAACATTCCGGTCCCGGAAACGGCCGGTTCTGTGGTATTCCGGAGATTTCATGGAAGCAGTATTCCGGTGAAAGGATCCGGTGACCGGATTTATCCGGTTCCGGCCGGAATCGACAGGAACCTGTCAAAACTGGTAGCCGAATACGGTTTCCGGATTCCTGCATCGAATTCCGGACAATTACCGGTGGGGTTCCGGTCGGAAACAGCGAGTTTCTTGCAGGTTTTCGCCGGAAATTCACGGAATACTGCTTCAGGAATCATTGTCCTGGACTAAACTTCTCATTTCAAAATGCAAAGAACTCTCAGCACCTATCAGTCGTTCGTTCGTTTTTTTCTCGTCGTCTAGCATAAGCTTTTCTTGGTCGGATTGACTTTTTCATGAAATTTCAATGACAACAAGTGTATTATAGTATTGATGATGATGACGGATAACCAGATAAGCATCAATTTTGTAGTTTTATTCTATTAGAATTTTTCTCAAAAATAACTGAATAATCATCAGATAAGTTCATACAAACTGCATAGAGATGTATATATTGTAAGCTTGAAAATATCTCTTCTCCTTAGATATTAATTTTGCAAAAGTTGAATCTAAATAATGAATAGTTAGTTAATAAAAAATAACCTAGTGAATTCTGAAATATGTTTTTGAAGAAATGAAAATAGCATGGCAGTCGATATAGATTAGATTCGATTGTTTTGTTCCGAATGAACTTTTTTCATTTACATTAATATTTTGTATTTACTTTTCCAGATCTATAATGAAATAGTTATGTTGTACAAACCTATTTCAATAATCTTGATTTATTGAGTAAAAATAGACTAACGATTTTAACATCCACGTTGTTGCCTCTCGTTTAAAACAGTACAATAAGTGTGCTTAAGTTAATTTTTTCATTAATGAGAAGGACTTAGAAATATGACAAAAAATATTTTTTATTCAACGACAGTGACATACATTTTTCACTAGAAAATAGTCGATGTATGAATAATCGTTAAAATGATGAAGATTGAATATCTTCCTTTGATGGTAAACTAACTTGATTGAGAAAACAAAGAAATGAGCATATACAGGATGATGCATCTATTTTTAATAGTTTTGAAATGTCATCTGTGTTTCACAGGAAAGAAAGAAAAATCGTTTGACAATTAGCGGCGTAACCAGGATTTTAAGCTAGGGGGGGGGGGGGGCGCGGGCCC